CAACCTCCATCACAAACAGAAGAAAAAACCTACTGCTGCTCTTCATCTTCTCCATCAAAAAACACCTGCAACAAAGGAAAGAAACATAAAAAAAACTGTTGTTGTGTTCTTTGCCCTCTAGCCGAGACTCGAGACCTTTCCATCCTTGCTCATCGAGAAACCGGCAACCACCTTCAGTTTTGCATCATCACTAAATCCACCTCTCCACCTTCGCCCTTTCTATCGATACTCCAACCCCTGTCTCTAGCCAAGACCACCTAAAAACATAAACCAACCCGTCGCCACCTCCTTTGAACAACCATCAATACCTATCAACTGCTTCTTCGAGCCAAGAATGAAGCTACTGTTCATCTTCTTCACCTAGTCCGAACCTACAACAAACTGAATCAGTGAAGAAAAGAAACCACATAAAAAAACTAATTTCCTCTCATTGCTTTCCCTTCGGTTTAACCTCCTGTCGAGAACCCTCATCCGAAAACAAAACAGAAAAAGAAAAAGAAAAGGAGAAGAAGAACTTACTTGTTGTGTATCTCGATTCACCTAAACCCGAGAACCAAACAACCTTACCCTCGTCGGATTTTATATGCATGGATTTTACCAAGAATGGTTCTTCAAATGTGTGGGGTTATCACTTATCAACCAGGGGCATAAATGGGATGTCATGGTATGTATAATGTATTTTATATGTATTGACAATTAACAATTTTTTTCATTAGTTAATTTAAGCCTAACTAACTCTGTAAATCAATGGGTGAATTTTGGAATTGCAGGTGGATCTGCTTTTCTACAGGGAACAGAGGAGGCAAAGGAAAAGGCAGACGGGTTGCTCATCCGATTACTAGACAAAAAAACAAGTTTTTGCAAAAAGTTGGGTTTTTTTCGGAAACAAACAAACCTTTTGGTTTAAAACGAAAAAATCAGTAAATATTGGGTCTTTATTGGAAATAACCCTTTTCTTTCATCTTGTTTCCTTGCGTGATCATGTCTTCAGCAGTAGCAGCAGTTCCAACAATAACTAACATCTCTAGAAGAAATGGACCTTTATTAATTGATCTCATCAGATCTTCATCAATTCCATTCAAGTAATCTTCCATTCTGTCCGCCCATTGTTCGTAGTATTTCGGAATCAACATATGCATTTTTGTTGCAGATCCAAGAAAATGAGAGAAATTTGTCATCGTGTTCACATTAAAGTTCGCCATTGATGAACAATTTTTGAAGAAAGAAAATTTTGATATAAAGAGAAATCAAAGAGAAAAAACAACCAGAGATCAATTTATCTAACACACAAAACATAGAATCGATACAACTCAATTGGTTGACACTAGTTTTTAGTTTCAATATGAGGAAAATTTTGAATCGGAAAGAACGATTCAAAAAGATGAAAAATACGAGAAAACTTCAATCGATGATATAAATCCTGCGCTGATACAAATTGAAGTGCCTTATAAATGATAAACGAATCAATCGAGTAAGTAAAATCGGAAAAAGATACACAGATCTAAATAATATCTGATCGGCTCAATTCAACGTCTGAAGGGTACAAAGAGAGAGTACAAATGTGATAAGAGAATGTTATAACAATATTCTGACCTAAGTACTTACCCTATTTATAGGATATAGTAGATGTACAAAAAAATAAGGACTATACATGACGTATCAAAACTACTATGCCTTGTAAATAGATAACATATCGAAAGTACCAAACTTTCGATATTCACAGAAACATAGCGAAAGACACAACTTTCAACTCTTACTATCTACTTTTGACCCTACAGTGAAGATATGAGGCTATCTGGATATGAAGTCTCCGAATTAGCGTTCTGAAGATGCTCCAGTCTTGAAGTTCAGGATCCTGGGTTGTAGGATTAAAGATAGAGTTGGTTTAGTTTCCACGGGTCTTCTCAAACTTGATCCTAGTGCTTTTATCCGATCAAATATTATTTTGTTGTTTTCACTTTGCTCATTGATATATCGATCCATTCTGGTTAGCATAACTATGCTTTTGTTGGTCGTGGCCATATTTGGTATTTCTTGAGTTGCACTTCCTGATTATTAGAATGGTGAGGATGTCGGGATTGTCCTTCTAGGGATCTCAACATGACTTCTATATAAGGAGGCTGCTAGAGGTAGGGGAAGGCTCTGACCAACTAAGATGGATGCAATAGTTCTAGAAGTGGATTTTGGTAAAGAAAACATTTTTGGTGAAAAATGTGTAAGTGATTGAAAATACAAAAAAAGGTTTACGACTAACTTTAAGGAGAAAAATATAATAACACCAGTTGTCCCACAAATAACACAAAATTGCTTTGATAAAAAGTTAAAAAGTTAACAAACTAATTTTTAACGAAATTAGTAAGTGTGGTGTGATGTTAGAAATGAAATGTTAAAAGCTAGAGTGCTTAAGATTCTTAAAAATGTGTCGAAGATCTTGGTCGTGCCCAAGATTCTGGGAAGAAGACAGTAATATTCATAAAATTGTTTAATAAAGTTGATTTGTTTTAAAATGTAAGCAAACGTATTTGGAAGATTTGGGACCAAAATAGTGTTAAAACGGTTAACAAATGATTTTGTATGAGAAAGTTGTAAGATACTTGAAAAGGTATTAAGATACCACAAAATATCTTGATAAGTAGATGTGAAAACTAAAAAAACAATCTAATAAGTATGCAAAAACTTTGTAATTGATCAAATAATCATAAATGAGTAAAATTAAAGCAAGAACATAGTGACGTATGAGGAAAGCCCTTAATCCTTTTGGATCTCCAACATAAAACCTCGGGAGGTGATAAACACACCTTCCTTAGAACTTATATTAATATGTAAATAAAGGTTACAAGTTCTAGCTGATCTTAGAAAGAATGTGATTGTGCTCAAGTGTTAAAACAGTCAGAGAAGAAGAAGAAGTGGAAGTGTCTGTGTGTTCATTGTTCAACTAGTCTTTTATACATAACAAGAATAACTAAAAGTATGACATTCTTGGGATTCTCCTTGATTTTTGCTTGACCCATCTTTTTCAAGGGTCTTCAACGTTCATGAGGCATTGACCATGTGTTATTGACTTGGTCTATTTTTTCCTTAAGCTTCAAGTCCGCACACAAGATATCATAAGAAATACGGTGGCCGTCCAAGATATTGAATAAATACAAGATCTTAGGCTTGCCCATGATGTTAGTTCAGGTTCAAGAAGCTGGAAATTCTACTCACAACAATGCTTGTCAATTAAATCACCATGTAACAATATGATTTCAGTTCTAGAAATCTCTGATCTCCAAGATCTTGGATTAGAAAATTTTGGGGGCCATTGTTATAGGTAATATTTACACATTTACTTTATTATGACTAACATCTTAAACTTATACTAATATCTTGAATTTCCCAAGATCTTCAACTAGCCAATATTTTGTGTATTCCATCGTATTTCATATGTTATCTTATCCAGGGTAAAAAATACTTGTTCAAAAATTTATGGACCAAGTCAATAGGCACAACGTCAATTAGAAAAGACATTGAGTCTATATGAAAACCTGGTTAAGCTAGAATAAAGGAAGATCCCTAGATTATATGAATGTTTTTTGAACTATCCTTGTATAAAAAGACAAGTTGATCATTGTACACACACAAACACAATCTCACTTCTACTCACTCTTTAGAATCTCTCAAGCACAAATACATTCTACTTACAATCAAATTTCACCTTTAATCTTATTTTTAGTTAACAGAGTTCTAAGGCAGTGTGAAATTGTCACCTCTCGGGGTTTTATGTCGCAAATCCTAATGGATTAAGGGCTTTTCTCGTATATCTTTGTGTCTTTCCATTTATACATATTTTTGGTGCATTAACATTGATCTTATATTTCTACCCAATCTTTATACACTTTGTTAAAATTACTTGATTAAATATACATCGTGGACGCACAACATTCATCTTGAAACATACTACAAAACGTATATATTTTTGAACATCTTAAAACCTTTCTGATCATTTCCTACTATTAAGTTGTTTGAACACTATAAATGTCCCAACATTATTAAAACATATCTTGATTTTCAAACACTATTTTACTCCGAGTCTTTACAAAAAAACATTTACAATTCTACACTGCTCTTAAGATCTTAGGAATCTTTCAAACTTTTACATAGAACATCACACCACACTAACTAATTTTATTACAAAGTTATTTACTCAATTTTTGACCAAAAGAATTACATTTTAACGATAAATGTATATTGCATAATAGAAAACCAAATTACATAGAACATCACACCACACTTACTTTGAATTTGAATTACATCTTTAGATTATCAAGCTAACTCAATAAACATAAAATTGAAAGCAAGTCTACATACAGTTGTTTTTATAATCTTACATGCAACAAATCATTTTAACAACTATGTCATCAATATATAATTGAATTAAAACATACTAAACAAAGAGATAATCAATGTTAGTAAAACCTTTTATTTGCATGAATTAAACACTTTTCTTATATTGGTTTAAAATTTAAACAAATATATATTTGAGTCTATGCAATGAGTTACTAAAGCAGACTTCAAACTAAAAAACTTTAATTATAATTTTCGATTATGTGAATCTAGTTTACGCATCATGCAAATTATGTGTATGTGTGTATATGTGAGATCTTAATGAGCTTGATGTCCAAATTCCATTTTTGAGTAAAACAAAACTCACTTGAAGTTTCGAATTGATGTTTATATAATTTTTAAAAGATTACTTGTGTCCATGAACGATTAAAAAACTTCAACTAATAAACGCTAAGTTTATTTGTGATGAAAAAGTTATTTTTTTAATTTATATTTTTCCTTATCTATGTATTCATGTGATTTTCTCTTTCATTCACATTACTACTTCATAATTACATATCTAAAGAAACCAAGACATAATCAATAACGTATCATTTATTTGTAGTCAAGATTATAATAAATAATATATCAAATTTTTTTGATATTCATTTTTCATGAATCATATACTTTAAGAAGCATCACATAATACCCACCCTTTTTAACTTAAGAATCACTTAAATAAAATTTTGAAGAGAGCCACATCTCCAGTAATGAAAAAGTTTCTCTTGGCTTGTTATATGGAACTAAATGTCCTGCTCCCTGTAAACATTGAAATTTCATCAAGGGTCGTGCATTTGTGTAAGATATAATTATATTATAGATGTGAAATTTGAATGATTGCTCGAGAATGTGGTTACACACCCTCACTTGCAATATATGTTTTTAGGACTTACTATTACAAAAAATCTAAGTAATATATGAAAAATAAAATACAATAGCAGAAATGTTCATGGATTATTTCTTACTTTAACTGTGGCATATGTCAACGAGTAATCATTTTGTACATATTTTGTTTTATATCTGCAAAACAAAATCATGTAACTGATAAAGATATAATTATCAAGGAAGCAAAAAGAATTTCTGAACAATGTTATTTAAGACGTTTATTTATAGGTTTTTATATGTTTCAGGCTAATGTGTTAAATAATTAACAATTAAAGACCCTCAAAATAAAAATAGTCTAACTAAATAGATCAAAAACATACCCTCCAACTTGACCATTAACATAGAAAGGCTTCCATGGAATTTCCACACCAAGATTGAGAGAAGCAATCCATTGTTCAACGCCAACATAAGGAAATGTCATATCATGGTCGCCGCTATCAATAAAGTTTTAGATGTATGAACATATGTAAGCATATTGGTAATCATAATTCAATTAGTATTAAAGAGGGAAGACAATGTTTATTACCTCATGATCAGGCTTTGACAATTTTTACAAGATAATTTCTTATGGTAGAGAAAACTACTAAAAATATCATAAGAATAACAAAATGTGTCGTTCTTTCCTTGATTGTAATGCAATGTACTATTGATCAATTCGAATATTCCAGTTTTTCCCTAAATACAAAAGTTATTAAATAAAATCGAATGATAGACCCTGTTTAGATTCTTTTCAAGAAAATAATGTTGGTCACATACTTGGCGAATATTGAGAGCTTGTTGTATATCCTTTTTGTTCGCCCAAACGCCTACAGCCTTATCAAAATCACTCTAAAATGATCAAAATAAATGTCATAATTTCATTAGTTTTTCAAGTTCCATAAAGAAAAAAATCTTAAATTCAAAGTTCATTCGGTGAACATAAATGTGAGTTGTTCATTTCCATTTCATAGGAATTAATCATCTTATTAAGGTATGATACGAAAATTAACATACTCTAAACATATAATAATAAATTGCAAGATCACATTTAAAAATATATATATCCTCTTATGAGAATGACTAAAGGAACAAAATGCTTGTGAGAGAGAGGGAGAGATATATTACTTCACAACTTGACATTTCGTCATTTTCATTACAAAACGGTTCCAAGATGTTATCCATTTGAATACGACTTGTGCACTGCAATTGCGATTTTAATCATATCGCGTTCACAAACTCCATGTTATTCACGAAGAACTCAAAATTCTCACCTCTTCATATTGGTGAAGACTTTTTGCACATAATGAGTTGGTTGTATCAATGCTGACATAGTTTCCATAACAATTTTTTATTGCAGACTACATAATGGAATCAATATAATTAAGAATCATTGTTAAATAATAGTTTTAAAACATTATAATAAAATTACCTTATAAATATCATCTGATATAAGTGCCATACGATGAGTATATTCAAGTCTTGAATTAAAATCCTTGAACTTATCGGTGAGAGGACTCATAAGAATGTACCCCTACATTACAATTAACAAACATGACGGATAATTAGATAAGTTAAGGGTCTTGAATTTATTTGGTTATTGCATC